ACAGTGTTACCCCGAATTTAGAGAGATGGAGGCTTACAGTGTTACCCCAAATTTAGAGAGATGGAAGCTTACATTGTTATCCTGAATTTAGAGAAATGAAGGCTTACAGTGTTACCCTGAATTTAGGTTCTGAACTAGAAGCCTTTAACTTCTCACCCAGCAGGAACGACTCACATTTCCTAGTCCCCCTTTCATGGACCAGAGATCTGAGGTGTTAGGAAGGAGGTGAGGGTAGAGGGATGAAGAGGGATGGAGAGGGATGCTCCCTGAAGCTGCGGAACCCAGAGAAGAAAGGGATGGATGGGGTGGTCCTTACTGTCACACAAAGCAGCATGGGTCCTCGGATAATCCACCAGATTTTCTTGTTTTCATTTGATGTCCAGCACCTGTGGACAAGATGAGGAGATGAGACATGAGGTGAGGATGAAGGTCCCAGTTTCATGCCCTATGGAAGAAGGATGCTTGCCTGCCTTCAAGATTAACTGTCTACAGTCTGTCTCCTAAGAGGAGGGATGAGGGCAAACGAGAACTCCTGACTTCCTACCATGAAATTTCTCTTCTGCATTAGGAGTGTGCTGCACCCCTCCCACGTTTTCCCCCATGTGCATGCAAACAAAGCTCACGGCTACAGACCCTTGTTACTTTGCCCAGTAGTTTGTTTTCCTTTTTCGCATATCACTTACACACTTAGAAATATATGTGGATGCCCATATGTAAATATGAAGACTGGATGATGGTTATTTGGAGGGAAAAATAGATCACACATTACATAGAATTGTATTTCACAATGTAGCTGTGCCTTGTTACGCACAATGATTCTTCCATCAATGTACATCCAAATTGCTTCTTTCTCTCATATGAGCAAAGCTATAGAAACTACTCTGTCCTTCTGCCTTTACACACCAAGCACCATAGCTGGTCCAGACAGCATCTTTGATTATTTATATGTATGACTAATAAACTACTACAAGACCTTTGACTACTTCTCCACACTCCTGCTACTTTCTAGAAGGACAACATAGGAGAAATTGGATAGTCTCTTTGGGAAATTGATGTCACGTCCTATATTTGGGCATATCTGAGAATTGCTGGTCCATGGAAGACTGTCACCAGGTGGTTTACCTACCCTGTGTTCTCCAGGTGTGCACGGGTGACACCCCAGGGAATAACAAACAGCATGGGGAAGGCTGTATAGAAAACAGAGAGAGGAGTTAAGAGTTGTTTGTCTAATCCCGCCAGCTCCCTCCCAGCCTCTTGGGGCCCAGCACAACAGGTCCAAAGGGTTAAAAGCAAACATAGAATCGTATAGTAAGAACTGGTGAGGCTGAGGGTAGCCCAAGCACAGACATGGCTCTACTGTCAAAGAAGCTGTGTCCTGGGGAGAAAGGGCTTGTCACTTGTCACAAAGTGGTGTGGAGTAAATCCATGGACTTCAGTCAAGTTTTTCATAAGCAATATCATGGATCCATTTACTTCCTCTGAATTCTGTAGCATCTAATTGACCAAAGGCTATGGAAACCAAGTTCCAGATCAGAATACCCTGCTCATACTTTTAAGATTAATAGTAATGAGGGGAGAAGGGATGAAGGAAGGGGAACAGAGAAAATGGTATGACTCAATAAAAACAATTAAATAAAAATTGATAATAGTAACTTTTGTTTTTAAAAAGACTTAATGTCACAGACCGATGGATGTGTCATCCCAAAATTCCTGGATTGAAGATCTGTCACCACTATGGGGTATTTGATAATGAGGAATGTGGGGTAACTAGGTGTAGCATGTGTTTTGAGTTGGGGTCCTCATAATGGGATTGATGTCCTTATGAAAAGAGACTGGAGGTATCTCTCTCTCTCTCTCCCTCTCTCTCTCTCTCTCTCTCTCTCTCTCTCTCCATCATGTGATGGCCATGAGGGCAGTTTTGTGCACACCAGGAAGAGGGTCCTCACCAGAAAGCAAGCCCACTGGATTCCCAACCTCCAGAAACAGGAGAAACCAGTGTCCACTGCTCAACCACACAGATATTTTGTTATGGCATTGTGAATATTCTAAAACAATTGGAAAATGGGTAAGAAGGATTCAGCTAATTGTGCCAAAGATCTTTCCACTTTTGCATGTGTGCATTGGGCATACAGGCCTGTGCTTGTACGTGTATATACGTGTATACGCACATGTGTGTACACACACCCAACACACGCAAACACATTTTCTTCGGAAACCCTTGTCATTGAGAAATTATCTGCTCCAGTTGTATCCTCTCATTGGGATTCCAACCAAAGGCTCTGCAGGCTCCCATGTTCTGATGGGTCCCTGCGAAAGAAGGGGAGTCACAGCACTCACCCCAGCCCACCACCAGGTATCTGGGCCACAGCCGCCTTTCAGGAAGCACTGTGGGCTCCAGCAGAGCATGGAGGTAAAGCCCTTCCACCAGCAGCCACAAGTGGTTGGCACCCACGAAGTAGTGCAGAAGGACCTGGACGGAGCGGCAGGAGGCAGACACCTGCAGGGGCAGAACCGGGGTGAGTCCTGGGATTCCCAACACCTGGATGAGCATGGTTTCCCCAAGTACACACATGCTCAGGCCTGTCCTCCCCTCTATTCTGAGCCCTTGCTGACGACCTCAAAGAGGCTGGCAGGAAGGCTTCATGGAGCTTTTAAAGATCAACCTCTTCCTTGGCATTCTAGGCATTGTTTTTGGTTTCGTTTTTGTTTTGAGAGGGAGTCTTACACATCCCAGGTCAGGCTTGAACTTGTTATGCAGTCAAGGTTAACCTTGAACTTTTGATCCTCCTGCCTTCTATTTCTTAAAGGCTGGGATTATAGGTGTGAGCGTCTTGTTTATGTGGTTTCTAGGGAAACTAGGACTTCACTTCTGCAAAGTAAGCACCACATATAGACTTTAAAAGAAAAATAAAAAAGCAAAGGGCCAGAGAGATGGTCAGTGGCTAAGAGCTCTCATTGTTCTTCCAGAGGACCTCGAACAGCAGCTCCCAGCTATGTGTAACTTCAGCCCCAGTGGATCTAATGCCCTTTTCTGGCTTCTTTGGGCTTCTTCAGGCACATGGCATACACATATATCATAAAAATTAAATGAAATAAAAAGAAGGAAGAAAGGAGGGAAAGAGGGAGAGAAGGATGGAGGGAGAATACAAAATCAGAGAGAGTTTACCATCAACAACAGCCTAAACGATAGCATGGGAGTGTCTGTTCTCTAACCTCAGTTCAGCTCGGCTAGGAACCACAACAGCTAAGCAAACACTCGTGTGCCTGGACATCCTCGCATGGAGTCCTTAGGTGCAATAACAATGAGAAGTGTTTCTTGACCTTAAAAAAATTATAAAAATTTTTATAAAATTATATTTTTATATCATTTTTATAAAATTATAATTTTATTAAAAATTATTAAAAAGTTTAAAAATACAGTGTGCCAAACTTTGTACTATGCAACTAATAACAAGCCTGGAATGAAACATCTACCCTTAAGTGGAATTATTAAAAAGAGGCGAGTTGAAGATCAGTTACCAAAGATCAGTGACCATAAAAGGTCATGTGTAAAAAGTCAGCAAAAATTAATGGCAGATTCAACCCAAAGAAACTGCACGCATGGAAGTAATGAAAGTCGAAATGGATGCAAATGAGAATATAAACCGAAAGGGCTCAATAATGCCAAGAGCTTGTTCTTGGAAAAGTCCAATAAAACTGAGAAACTCCTACCAACAAGTATCAAGGTGTAAAAGTAAAACAGCAAAGACGTAAATAATCAATACCAAAAATGGAAGCACAATTGCAGGCCCCACAGACTTGAAGAAAAGCTACAGAGAAGGTCGTGGACAATATTATGTCAAGAAACTTGAAAGGTTACATGAAACATACACAGACGAGAGAAAAAAAGAAAGTTTGAACGTGTGATTCACGATTAAGGGCCCAGTGAGCTGGCTCAGCAGGTAAAGGTGCTTGCCACTAATCCTGACACCTGAGTTCCACCTGGACCCCACATGGTGGGAGAGAGAATCAACTCTCGACTCACCTCTGCTCCGACCCCGCATGCACTACTGCACACATAAAAAAATAAATGTAGTAAGACTCATGGTCGATCTATAACTCTATAATGTGTGTATGTGTATGCAATTCCACATGAGTGGATTCATGCGTGTGTAAGGGGTAACACGTGTGTGTGTGTGTGTGTGTGTATGTGTGTGTGTGTGTGTGTGTGAAAATGGAGGTGGGAGGCTGACACTAGCTATCTGTTTTGATTGTGCTGCACTTTATATAGTGAAGCGGAGGCTCTCGCTTGGACACAGAGTTTGGCGATTTGGCCAGCTTTGCTAGCCAGCTTCTTCCAGTTGTCAGAGCAAATGCTTTACCCACTAAACCTTCTCCCCAAGCCCTGTAACTTAAAGCCCACTAATGCAGGAGCACGGTGGCACCCACCTACAATTCTAGCATTCATAAAGCAGGAGGATCAGCCTGGATTGCACACTGAAAGACCGTCTGGACAAAAGATTGATCTAGGCTTTGGTTTGCGGTTCAGAGGTCACCTACAGTGAGCCCATCGACCTCTGGATCCGCTTACCCGGCCCACTCTTGGGAGGTTGTTTTTAAAGTCAGACGGTGCCTCTCTATCAGAAAGGCTTGAAGATCCTTTTATCTCTGTCTCCCTCGCCAATCCACGCCCCATCCACCCACTCACCAGCTCTGCCCCATCAGGTGGGAGGGGATTACCTCTGACATGTATGACATCCATCCGCTCTCACTGTTAGGCCTCTTGGAGTAAGAGTTGTAGAAGACGATGTCTTTCGCCAGGACGACCAGTGCTCTCAGGATGAACGAAGCAAACAAGTTCATGTGGATGTAATTGCGTGTGCAGTGCAGTTTCCTGCACGAAAGAACACCAGGTGTCTTCCCTCCAGAAAGAGTGGCTGGAAGGGCACACCTGACCGGTCGCTAGAGACAGACGCACATTTACAGGCTGCTGGTCTAGGTGCTCCTACTTCTCTGTGCCTTACCCTTCCCGTCTGTGAAATGGCACCCCTAAAGATGTTCCCTAGATAACATGTTTGGCATGCCAGGCCATGCGGACATGGCCTTTTCATCTTTCCATATTTTAGTTGGCTCGCTTGTAAAAGAGGACAGCTAACAGTAACCTTCTCGAACTGGAACTGATCTTGAATCAGATGAGGAGGGGAGTTAGCTGGCAGGAATCCACAGGACTCATTCAAACCCTAAGACGACCATGACTTTTCTGGGGGGAAAAGGGGTCTTGTGTGCAAATAATGGTTCTAGGGGGACTGTGGTTTGTCTGGGTTTTAATGGCAACAGATGTGATCAGGAACTTAGGCAAAGAGTCCAGAGTCCCACTTCAAGGTCTGTCTGTGTATCCAACTGCCTTTCCCACCGGCAGGGACTTAATATCCCTCACTGGAACATTCTGTCCTCTCTGCCCTCTCATCTAAGAAAGGAATGGATGCACTCAGGAATCTCAAGCTTTCAGTTATGAAGAGCCACGACCTCGCCCAGCAGAGTCTTCTACTGTCTCCCAGTGCTGGCCACTGAGCAAATCACTGGACACATATCTGGCCACATGTTGTGGTTCTACTCACCGAAGACACAGGAGGAGTGTAAGAGCCAGCAAGAGCGAGATGAGAGAGAGGGAGTAGCCCACGGTGTACATCAGCTGCAAGGTGGACAGCAAGGCATAGTGCTCCACCTGGACATGGGAAGAGCAGACATGACCACCAGGATGCAGTCTGTCACCCCACCTTCACCTCAGCTCCATGCCCAGAGTCACCCAGGGGCCAGGCACGAACTGAGACACAGACTGAGCCTCAAGCCTGTTGCTAGACCTTTCCTTCTCAACTCTGTTGGTACACAGATAGGCAGCCCAAACTGCCTTGGCACACTTCAGAGGCCACAAAGCCCCGTGGGTAAGAACCTCGTGGGTAAGAGTCTCATGCCATGGCTGGGCTCACAGCCCAGCACTCATTCACCAGGACTTGCTATATCAGAAGGAACTGAACCCTAGACACAGGATGCCATGGTGAGCTGTGGTGAGAATCTTTCGTAGTTTGTTAATATGATAAATTTTGTTAGTTTTTAGATGTTAAATCAATAGTTTAATTGCACTTGGTCATGACACTTCTTTCTTTCAGAATATTGTTGGGTTGGATTTGGTCAAATTTTGTCTGTGTCCGTATCTGGAGATATCTGGAGATATCTGTATGACAGTTGTCTCATAGATTGAGTGAACATTCTGGGAATTTTTACAGAATTTGTAGTATTTTTTTCTCTCCTTTTCTTTGAAATTGAATCAGGTTTTGTTTCATGAGCTTTGAGAACCTGTTAACATGTTGTTGGTATTATTGTTATTGTTATTGTTGTTGTTGGCGTATTTATTTTCCTGGTGAATTTATCTCTTCACTACTATGATATTTGTTTATTTAGAGGCAGAGTCTCATTATGTAGACCAGGTTGGCCTTGAACTCACAGAGACCTACTTGCCTTTATCTCCCAAGTGCTGGATGTGTGTCACCGCACCAGTTGAAATGTTACTCTATATCCTGGTGACATTCACTGCTTGAAATCTACTTTGTCTGATATTAATATAACAATCCCCCTTCCTTCTAATTCGTATTTGTTTTCAGCTGTGACGGCTTGAACAAAAATGGTCCTCAGAGGCTCCCATGTTTGAATACTTGGGCCAGTTGGTGGAACTATTTGAGAAGGATTAGGGAATGTGGCCTTGTTGGAAGAGGGATGTCTCTGGGGTGGGCTTTAAGATTTCAGATGACCCAAGTCATCCCCAGCCTCTTTCTCTTCCTCCTAAGGTTTACAAATGAGGACGTGAGCTCTCAGCTGGTCCTGCTGCTAGGTCTTTGCCCCACCGCCACAAACTCTAACCCTCTGAAATCTTGAGCCCCAAACTAAATGCTCTCCTTGGTAAACTGCCTTGGTTATAGTGTTTTAAAACAGCAATAACAAAGTAACTAAGACAACAATGTATTTTTTCAATCTTTTAAATTTTTAAAGATTTATATTTGAAGTTATTGTCTAAGAGATAGTATATTGCAGACTTTTGCATTTTCTTAACACCACCTGAAATCTACCTGCTGGGGATGTTTAGATCATTTATATTTAATGCCATTATTTATCTGGCTGGGCTTAAATCCATTGGTCTTTTTCTTTGTCTCATATTTTCTTTACCCTCTTTTCTTCTGTTTCTGTCTTATTTTGAATTGACTGTGCCTTTGCTCTGTTTCTCTTCCTGTGATTTAGTATGCCTTCTTTCAATCTTCAGTGGCTGCTTTGAAATTTATGGTAAACATTTTTAAATTATTGTAGTCTGCCATGAAATAATATTTTATGATTTGATGCATAATTTAAAAACTTTGCCATTGTATAATGACTCATCCTCCATCCTGACCATTTTGCTATCACTGCCATCCATCCATTTACTACAACGCATCCCATAGGCTACTGATGCATCATTATTGCTTTTGCTTTAACTAGTAGTCTATCTTTTGAAATATGATAAGGAAACTGGCTTTTGCTATTTCTAGTGATCTTTATTCCTTTGTGAGAATCAAAATATTCACATGAGATGTTTTCCTTTCTGTGTTAAGGGTTTTCCTTTATTCTTTCTTACAGTGGTAATCTAGATGCAAATCTTTTGAGCTTTAAAAATAACCCCAATTACATCTTTATCCAGAATTATTTTCTATAGACCTGTGAGGCCTCCAGGTGCTCTTATGATTTCCCTTCTAAGATCAGCTCCTTACAAGAAGTACTTGGGGCTGGAAAGATGGCTCAGTGGTTAAGAGAGCAGTTGCTCTTGCTAAAGATTCTGAGTTCAATTCCCAGCACTTACAATGGGTGGCTCAGAAACACCTGCAACTCCGGCTCCAGGGCAAGGAAGATCTGATATCTCTAGCCTCCATGCACACCTGAACTCATGTGCATACAGACCCACAAATATATGCATAGATTCTTTAAAGTCTTCCGTAAATGCCTCTCTGCTTCATTACAGCTATTTCCTGAAGGGTCTAAAACACCTGCTCTTCAGCTCACACTTGGTACCAAAAAGCAACTCTTCAGTCATTTTCATGCTTATAAAATGCCACTTGTATTGTGCACCAACATGGAAATGCACCCTCATGCATTGCTGAAGGAAGAATGAAATGGCCTCACTCCTATACAGGGAATTTTGGACATCCATGACAGCGTATTGTACATAGACCTTTAGGCCAGGGATCTCATTTCTAAGAGTTTTAAAGAAGATACTGCCACAAATCTGAACCAACATGGATGTACAAAGTTATTCGCAGTGGCCTTTGGGGTAATAAAAGATTGGATCTAGCCTAAATGCCCAAAGTTAGTGCTAAACAAAGTGTGGTAGATACATGTAGCTATAATATATATATATATATTTACAATATACATTATATATAATATATTATACAATTATACTATATTACATACTTATATTTCTAGGAACTGATACAGAATAATTTGTAGGATATGTTATTAAGGAAAAAATTACTGCTTTCTATGAAAGAAAAATGAGGAGTAACAGTTACATGTTTGCTTAGTTTTATAAAAAGAAACACAAAGCATAATTCAATTAACAAAAGAACTGGGCATGGTAGAAACTGAGAGGCTGAGGGTCACTATGATTTTGAAGCTAGCCTAACATAACTAGATCTTACATTGGAGAGGAAGGAAGGAAGGGAGGGAGGGAGGGAGGGAGGGAGGGAGGGAGGGAGGGAGGGAAGGCGGGCCAGAAAATAAAAGTGACTGTCAATCAGAGTCGGTGTAAAGGAAACAATGATGAAATGAAACAACATTTTATACATTTTTGGCTTTCAAATTCTGCCAATACCTAAGCTGTTAAAAGACAAATCAAAAAGGAAAGAATGAAACAGACAAACACTAACAAAAACAACCAGACTAAACTATACATCCAGCTAACCAGATGAGCATATAGAGAAAATGCTCAGCTGAAACAGTGCTCTCTGCTTAGGATGCAACCTAGGGAAAGAAAAGGTCTACAAAGAAACCTTAAGATTTGCCAGTTAGGTTGTAGTGCCAATAGCAACATTACTATGTAAAATTTGAAACTAACACAGAAAAATGAATAAATATGACATCATAAAAAAGATTCCACTGAAAGAGTAAAGAAACATATGTACAAATTAAAGGAAGATAAACAAAATTTCTAATTGTTTAACATAAATCACAGTTCTTAACATGAAGTCTTGATTATATGTGTTCATCTGTGCATGTGTGGATGCACATGTGCCCACATTTATGCAAAGAAAGAACTCAGTTTTTTAAATGAGCCTGGGAGTGGCTCAGCAGGTAAAAGGTAAAAGTGCTTGCCTTGCAGGTAGGATGTGAGGACCTGGGTTCAAATCCCCAGAATCCACACAGAAGCTGGAGGAGCGATGCAGGCCTTGGTAATTCCAGCACCTTATAGGGAGATAGGAGGAGATGGAGGACCCCTGGCATGAGCGTGAAGGTCAGAAGACAATGCTGGGTGCTGCCTTTCACTTTGCTTGAGACAGGGTCTTTGTTTTTCTGCTACATTCTCCAGACTGTCACCGGAATTTCTGTCAACGTTGTTTGTTAATTTTACGTGGTTGGGATCACAGCAGCGTATCTGTGTGAAATAAGTCCCTTTATGTGAGATGCTATCTGATGAATAGTTACGGGTGAAAGCTCATGGTGTCTAAGAGGCATTTTCCAGCATTTCAGAAAGATAGTGAGAACAGCTACAACCAAATGTAAAGACTTTGGAATCTAGGTAATAGATATTTTATTATTTTTTTAACAATTGTATATGTTTGAATATTTCAAGGTAAAATGCCAGGAGGTTATAATCAGCGTTTCAAGTGTTAAATTATATTAATAATGTAAATGTATTACTACAATAAAACATTCTTGTGTCAGAGTTTTGTTGTTGAGACAATGTCTATGTTAAACACTTGGAAGGAGAAAGGGCTTGACTCCTGGTGGGGAGGATGTGAGGGGGTGGGGCAGCTCACATCATGACAGCTGGAGAGCTAAGTGAGCAAATCCTACACTGGCTAGCTCTCTCCTCTTCTCCTCATCCCCACTTTTATTCTACCTGAACTCCCAACCTACGGGATGGCAGAGCCTGAACTCAGGGAGTGCCTTCCTCCTTTGGTTAGTCTGTTCTGACATCCTCACGCACATCCTAGAGCTCTGCCCGACTAACCTCCTAAGAGATGGCAATCCAGTCGAGTGACAACCAGGCTTAACCATCAGAACTATATATGACAGTTGCACCCTAGGGCCAGGGAGATGATCTTCCAGGTAAAGGCACTTACCTCCAAGTCTGATTTGGCACACACGCAAATGTGTGCCATGGTGTGCATAACACACACATACAAATAAATATAAAAATGCTGAAGGTTATGCCCTACGTGATTTTATAAATGATCCATGTATAACAATTAAATTCTGTCTTTGCAAACAGAAAGCCCTCTATGGAAGTGTAAAGAAAACAGTCTGAAATAAGGTGAAGAACCGACCCCCGTACTACAAATAGAAATCCATACAAGAGGACTCTGAACATAGTGTTCGTGCTTATGCACGGATACCGCACACAGGGCCAAGAAATGCACTTAACATACATAAGGATCCCCAGTATGTTGTTAGAGGAACATAACATAGTTTGCTTGCCAAAACTCTGAAGGGCAAAGGTTTACTAACACTGCCCTTTTTTGGGAATAATTTCAACCCACTCTGTGAAACACAGGTAAACATAGCCAGAAGCTTTTTGTTTTTAAGTATTTGAATTCTTGGAAATATTACTTGAAGAAGGAAGGAAGTGGTACCCTTCCAACTCACTCCCTCTCTCTGCAGGGGAATATTGTTTTTGAGAGGGGGTCTTGCTGTGTAGCCTCATGAGAGCAGCTTCAGCACTCAAGACCATTGAGCTTAAACTCCTATTATTAAACCCCTATTGTGTTCACTTTTTGAGAGAGAAAGCTCTGCCTCCTGTCTCTCTATGCACTGACTTGGGGATGCTGCCAAGCAGACCAAAGCGGGATTTACATCTGTCAGTGAATCTGACCGCATACAAGAGTTACCTGGGGAAATCTAGCATCAGTGTTGAGACCTAGACCCCACTACAGACCCACTGACTCAGAATTCATGAAGTCTTCCTATATTAAGTGTCTACTATGTATAAAGCCTATCCTGCATTCCATTTTCCTAGGGCTTGGGAGTGGTATCTGATACGATGGTGACAGTTTGATTGGTCTCAGTTTACAATACCAAGAAAGAAGACAAGAAATCGATATCCTAGGCTTCATTCAAAGTATGCAATTGGCATAGCTTCAGCATCATGGCATAAGCCAGGCAGTCTTGAGATTAACTTCATGTGTCATTTTAGTCCCTTTAAGAGGTGAGACCTGTCACATGGTAAAACTGGATATGGAAGGTAGAATTCTACCAACTCAGAACAAAAGATAAGGCTCCTGTCTCATCTCCTTCTAACTGTCTCCAGCCCAGCTGGTCCAGCCACTCTCGAATCTGCATAGAGATCCCGTCAAGGTCGGTTCTAAGTGCTGACCCTCTGTACTGCAGTCTGCAACACCGCAAATCTTCTCGGCAGTGCAGGCTGACTCTGCCTTCTCACCTCTCTAGAGGTCTCCAGACCCCTGTGCGTCCTCTTCCTCTCTACACAGAAACACTTCAAGTCACCTCTTAAGGAGGCATGGGGTGAACCATGATGATGGGGGGCAGTCAGCCACATGGGAGCCGGGGAAGGCATCCCAGGCAGTGACCAGCAAGCTCAAGGACAATGCTGCAAGAGTGACATTCCTTAGAGTTTCCTATCTCTCCCCAGAAGTGGAGGTCTGTTCACTCTTTGACCCTGAGTGTGTGCTTTTCCCTCTGTCAAGTCATTCTCACTTCCTCCTTCCCATGGCCAACTCCTTCCCCCTACCCCCTCAGTCTCAGTCTGGGCAGCCTTCCTTGCCCCGAGACTGCATCAATGCCCCTTTGCTGTGGCTCTGAGCATCCTGTATGTTTGTACCAGTGGCTAATCACCCTGCCTATGTGCCACACAAGACTCCAAGAGCCTTAAAGTCCGTAATGGTGTCTGGCCGATTATCGGTGTCTGCTAGAGAAATCTGGCATGGACTAGGTGCTTTGTTACTATGTATGACATGAATGAAAGGGGGAGAAAAAGACTTGCCTTATACTCCTGTCTAATTCCCCAACATCTCCTCAATCCTGTACTTCCCCTTTATGCTTGACCTTGAACACAGTAAGCAGGATTTGGACAAAGGGGTGGCTTTCGGGAGCGACTGGGAGGCTGATGAGAAAGTAGAGAAGACATGCTCCAAAGGGGGCTACACAATTCAGTCCTGGAAGGGTTAGCGCCAGGGCAGAGAGACAGCTCCACTCTGTGACTCTCACCAGCTTAAAGAGTTCCCCCAAAGTTTCTAGGAACTCAACCAGCCCTAAATCAGGGTGTGGGGTTTTGATGATGAGAGGAATTCTGGGACTAGCCAGCTCAGTGGAGCAGAGTTGTGGGTTTTATTGGAACCATTTTAACACAGCACAAGGGTTAACTCAAAAGGGTGCCCAAATGAAGACACCCGAGAATGGGCACTGGCTTTCAAGCTAAGCACTCAGTGGACTTAGCTAGCTACTCCCTTTTGGTGACTCTCAAGCTGCATCTCAAAAGATGTGAGGAATCCTTCTATCCTTCCCCAATCTTTTGATCAGTGATGCATGAGAAGGCCCCAGAGACACCTTTCCTGGAATTATAATCTGATCAAATAAAATCAGAGACTTCTAGGGTTTCAGAAGGAGTTTAATACCTGTTTATTCCCTGTACGTGGGGCTTCTGGTGGAATTTTTAGAAAATGACATGTCCCTGGCTAGCAAGAATAAAGGCCTTTTAGTTGTGCTGGAATTATTGCTCCTGCTGTTGGCAAAAGCTTCCACCAAATTCCAGAGAAAGTGAATTCTTCTCCTCCTTCTCATGGCCCCAAGACCTGCCTTCCTGTCCTACCTCAGAGGAAAAGTAGATAGAAGCGAGCATTGCCACACACACCTCTAATGGCAGCACGCAGGGGGCGGAGGCAGCAAGACCGCCAGTTTGGAGCCCACTAGGCTTCCAAGTGGGACCCTGTCAAGGAGACGAGATGGGAGGGGACAGGGAGAAAGGGACAGAAGGAGAAAACGCTGTGAGGAAGTCTGCCGAGTGGCCTGTCCGTTTATTCTGCATTTGCTGAACTTGGGGATGAGGAGCTGAGCGGTTCATCCTCTGGATTCTGGATCCTGGAGACAGAGCGGAACTCCTGCTTAGAGCCTGCTAACTGCACACCAGGACTTTGGTATGAAACTCAAGGCTCTTGACTGCCCAAAGCCTCACGATGATCCCATGCAGCAAATATGATCCCTATGGGATGACAAAGGCAGCAGAGGCACCGAGTGTGAAATAAATGTGCGAGTTCACAGGCGGCAAAGGAAAAATCTGGATACAGGACCAAGTCTGGCCCCAGAACCTTATGCTGTGCTGCCTCCCTCTAGGCTCCCCAGCCCCCAGCTGCCACTGGATGTGGCTTTTAGAGACAGGGCTAGGTAAGGACTAAGCAAGCAAGAGACTATCAAAGATAGGCCGGTGCAATGGGCAAATTCGATGAGGACCGAGGAAGAAGTAGCCACTAAGCTGGGCCATCTCGCTTGGTAAGAGACAACTGAACTGAAACGTGAATGCTGGGTTGTTTGGGGAAGCTGTTCCAGGCACAGGGCACGGCAGGTGCAGAAGCTGTTTCATCCCACAGAGGAATAAATTCCATGGCTGCCATGGAAGTTGCTGTCGGGTGACTGCAGCTCTTTCCTATTGGAATCTGGAGCAGATGAGCTGGTGGGAGGTCCCGTGTGTGTGTGTGTGTGTGTGTGTGTGTGTGTGTGTGTGTCCCAAAGTCGACATCCCCTGGGCTGCACCAAGTTCTGGTTCCAGGTGCTTTCTCAGCAAACCGGTAAACTCACCTTTTTGAAGCTGTAGTTCCCTGAGCATTCTGAGTCATCCTGCCAAATAGTTGTGGCGTTCTCTCGCGTCTGCCAAGTCCCCTGAGCCAAGCAGTGTCTGTAGGCCCTTCTTGGGCTCTCTGAAAGTAAACAAGGCTCTAGAGGAAAGTTCAAAACACACAGCCTATTCCCTGAGCTCACGGGAAGGTCTTCACCCTTGGCTAAAAAGCTGTGGAAAATCCCAGGGGAAAGGGATTTTCGGTTTTCCATCTGGGGGCTCATTAGCATCCCCACTGTTTATTTGGGATGGGAAGAAAAACACGGAAGGGTCTAGATTTTGTAACTGACCATGATCTTCTAATGTCCGTAGTGTTTACACATGTCTCTGAAGCTAGAAGGTCGCTGTGACTCAGAGATACTATAACCCTGTAAGGTACAGTCTCCTGGGAGATGCTGACCTGAGCCCCTGTGCATCTCTCCCTAATGTCCAAGAGGTGGCGCAATGAAGAAGAGAAAGCCATTGGTGCAAAGCAGGCAGGCTCAGGACTGACACATGATAAGTCCACTTTCTGAGCAGTGTCCTGGATTCAGCTCTACAGTCTCTGAGTCTTATCAATGTCTTCATCAGGGACTGGGTCCAATACTGCCACCTATCCTCTGTGATGTGAAGAGAGATGGTGTGTGTGAGTGTGTGTGCGTGTGTGTGTGTGTGTGTGTGTGTGTGTGTGTGTGTGTGCAGATGATGGGTAAATCACTCAGCCCACACTAAGGGCTGTTGTCACTTGACTACGTCTACCCTAGAAGCCCCATGAAAGGTCCTCCTACCTGGAGGATCAAGTAGGAGACACAAACGAGATGTGGAAATTTCCATAACATTCCAATCCCAACCCTATACTTCTTACACTAACAGTAGCTGTTGGTACTTTGGGTATTAATCGGGACCCACCCTACCCAGGAAGCACTTCCTCCTGCCCAACAGACATCTCAGACAACATGCTCCAACCAAGCTCTTCACCATTTCCAGATCTGCCCCACCCACAGATGTCCCCATCCCAGAGGATGACGAGCCCATCCTGGTATCCCCTAGCTCAGAACCTTAGAATCATCTCTGTTTTCTTGCAGCCTCTAGCTCCGTCTGCTCCATTAGCAAGTCATACTCACTTTCACTCAGATCCTAGATCCGACCCTACCTTCTACATCCCCCTTCCTTCCTAGTTAGAACTCTTCCTTCTTCCCTGGTTTATTGCTAACTCTGCTGATGGTATTGTCCTCATGGTTATGGATAGCCCAGTTACTGTGTTTCTGCTCAAAATCTCCCGAAGACTCTCTAAGGATGAGAGTCCTTCTGTGGCCGTCCACGAAGGCTTGTAGGAACTGGTCTCCTCACCTCTCTGCCCTCACTTCATATTGTTTCTCTTCCTCCTTGGCTCTGTCTGGGTTTAACCTCTCCCCTTCTTGGAGGCACGCTCCTCCCCAACAGTACACCACAGCATGTTGTGCGCTCTCTCCTGAACACGACCCCCTTTTGGCTCAAACTCTTAAGTCTTCACTAAAGCATCACCTTGCCATTGAATCATCCTTCAGCCACCCATTGCCCCGCCCCAGTCCTCCCTTTCCATCTCCATCTCTTTATCACATCCACACATACAGAGGATGCCCGTGACCATTGTCTACCCTTCTTACTACAGTGCAAGCCCTGGGAGAGCGATTTTATTCTGGTTCGGTCACTAATACACCCCGAACATTTAAAAATGGTGTTCGGCACACAGTGAGTACTCGCTAGATATT